GAGTAGGGAGGGCAGGGTTACCTATGCCAAATGCTGCTGTTGCTAGGTCTCAATAAAATGAGGGTTAATGATGAGGCTGACACACCTACTGTGAGGGAGTGCTGGGGAGAAAGCCTATTGGTTAGCGCAAAGGCTGGGTCCAGCAGAAAATAGCATAAGGTGTAGGTGGACCTAGATACTCACTTGAGGGATTTTGCAATACAAGGGAGGATGGAAATAGGATTGCAAATTTAAGAATGGAGTTTGGGAAATAGCTCGGTCAGTAAAGTGCAAAGACCTGAGTTCAAGCTGTAGAATCCACATTTAAAAAAAAAAGCTGGGCGTGGTAGCATGCTGGTGATTCCAGCATCCAGGAGGCAGAGGCAGGAGGAGGCCTGGAGCTTTTAGGCTGGTCACGCTAACCTACTTGGCAAGTTCCAGGCCACCGAGGCCCTGCCTCCTCACTCCTCCCACACACACACACACACACACTCACACATACACACACACACACACAAGTCTAAACAGTTAATTAATTGATTAAACAGTATCCCTTGGGGCTTATGGGAAAGATTCAGGAGGGAGCTTAGGCTTTAAAAAGACCCACGCTCTGCCACTGTAACAACATGGGTCAACCTCATGTCGGCGTTATGCTTTATGCTTAGTAAAGTAAGCCAGGCAAGGAAAGATGGGTACTGCTGACCTCATTCATTTGTAAAATTTAAACACTTTTCAACTCCTTGAAGCAAACTGGTGAATAATGGTTATGGGGGGCTGGAGGACAAGGTTTGGAGGAGATGTTGGTCAAGAGATACAAAATTTCAGTTATAATAAAGGAGCTCAAGAGATCGTTTATGACTTGAAAATCAGTAACAGAGGCCTGTCCCTGGAAACCACGGCCACTACAGCCAGGGATCAGGTAAGCAATGTTCCCTCTCCCTCTCATCCTCCATTTCTAATTCCCCAGTCTCATCCTCAGCTCTGCAGCAGACTACCTGCTGTACTCCTCCCCACCTCTGCCCCCATCCAAAGGGTCGAAACAGATCTTCTACAGCCTTCCCTGTGTCCTACAGACCTTTCCGTTCTCCTGCAAAGTTGCCTCACCTGCCAACGCTCAGGGCCCTCTCTCCCCGGAAACACGCCAGCCATGCAGACCAGGGAATCAGGATGGTAACTTCACTCTCCCACCCATCCTCAATTCCAGCTTCCCCTTGTCACCCCAGCCCTGAAGCAGACCGACTGCAGTGTCCTGTCTTGCCTCCCTTTCTCCACTCTCTGTGGACTCTATAGATTCTCCGGGCAGACCCCACTGTCCTCCATCCTATAGACCTTCTCAGCACCCTGCCTTCTAGCCAATCCCCATTCCTGCTAGTCAGCTCCTAATACCTAGAACTGGGAAGAGGTGGGAGGAGACCCTTAAACACTTTTGATAGAAATGTAAACTGCTACTGACACGATAGAAATCAGTTTGGTGGTTTCTCTAAAACCTAAAAACAAAACTACTATATGATCCAGCTACACCATTCCTGACTATATACCTACAGGACTCTAAGTCAGCACATTAAAGATAGTGTACATGCATTTTTATCACAGTGATATTCATAAAAACCAAGAAACAGAACCAACAAAGATTCCCACCAATAGAGGATACAGTGATATAGATACACAATGGAGTTTTACTGAACCACAGAGGGAAACAAAATCATGCCATTTACCTAGAACAGGACATCATCACAGTAAGTGAAATACACCAGACAAAGAAAACAAGTATCTCGTTTTATCTTATATGTAGAATCAAACTTAAAAAAAAAAAAAGAAAAGAACATAAAGAGAAAGCTGCTTGGAAGAGGATGGAGACCAGAATGGGAGAGGGAGACAAGAGAAAGCAAGAGAAGGGGTGAAAACTATCACAGAATATAATAAATATTATGACCACATCCTAATGAAAGTGATTATGCTGTACAGTTAGTACACAATTATAAAAACTGTGGCAATTACAGGAGAACTGATGATGGCTGAAGGGTGAATTCCACCCAACTGTGCTATGGATGTTGAAGGCTAACATAGGATCCTCCAGAAAAAGAGAATATATTCACACATATGTATATATGTGTGTATATTTATCTTTCCTTCCCTGGCTTATTTTACTCAATACACACACACACACACACACACACACACACACACACACACACACACACACACACACAATTTATCATAAGAATTGGCTCAGGAAATTACCGATGCATCGTAGCTTCACAGGATGTAGATCTAAAAAGGAGAGGAAATGAAGAACTGTTAAGGTGCACTGTCCCTGGAGGGAAGCAGGGAGGATGAGGAAATTGGCTTTTGCAAATCAGCTTTGGCAGTTCATTCCCAGTCCTGACTGGAGGCCTGAACGGGCAGACATACGCACAGTCAAAGGAGCTGATATGTATTAGTACCACACGGCTGCTCTCTATCATTTCTATTTCCAGCACAGTGAGAAGTGTGGTGATTACCTAAGGAAGGATGGCGAACGGGAAGGGTCAAGGAGAGAAGAGTTTTGAGAACACTCATCTAAGGGAACAGGAAAGTAAAGCGACCTGGAAACACCCTCCCACTGCCCGGCACCTTCTGGACAGAACAGGAATCCATCACTGAGCTTTTATACATCACTTATGAACACAGTAAAAATATACTTCCAGCCGGGCGGTGGTGGCGCACGCCTTTAATCCCAGCACTCGGGAGGCAGAGGCAGGCGGATCTCTGTGAGTTCGAGGCCAGCCTGGGCTAC